TGACATTGCATACCGGAGAGAGACAAGATAGCGACAATATTTCGTAGACATCTGAATATTAGATTCACCAAGGCACGATAATAAAGAAATGAACAACAGTGGTAAGAATGCATTGCTGCCATATACCTTCCTTGTAGATGATCTGTGAGACACAAGATTTTACCCTTTTTTATACATACTCTTGATTAATTTGTAGATTTTATCTGTTACATAGTAATAACAGTAGGTTGTTGTGTTTAGACTTGTTAAAAGCTTTCCAAAATAATAATAATTCTCCTTGCAATTCATCATATCTCGCATTCTTGTTTGTTTTCAATATATTTATACTTTCCCTAACTTCCGCTCTAGGTATAATAGCATATATTATAAATTTCAAAATACTTCATTGTTACCAATCTCAGTCATTTCGTAAGTTAAACAGTTAACCGTCCTCAAGATTATTTTGTAAGAAGTTTTTAAAATGACCAAACCATTGCGTTTCACCTTTGTTGCTTTTAATTAAATTCCAAAATGTGTCATTTGTTACTCGTGTTTACGAGTAAACATGTTATTGTTAATGATAGATTTTACCAGGTTTCTATATTTATTTTTCATTCATCTTCCCCCCCCCCCGAGATTCTGAAATAATGTAAAATGAACATTTCTTCTTATTTGATCATAGTCTTTTATTCATGGATATTGGTTTTGTGGCATTTTGTGGGAATTTGTATTGAATTTACGTTTTTATCAATCGTTTTTAAATTATTAAAACCGAATTAGTTTTCATTTATCAACATATTGAAGAATAGTCGGATTCTGCTCTTGCTGGAGTTGAAAACGGGGCCATGTACTCAAATAGAATTGTTGAGGCTCTAACGAAGTCCACTATACTGCACAGATTCAAAACAGAACGTAAAATCACAGGTACTTTCGTCGCTAAGCCTGTCATTAAAAAACTGAAAAATCACAACATAACTCCAGCAATAATCTTCCAAACAGTTTTACCTCTTTGTATTTTGGCCTACTTTTAAGCTAATTTGATCTGCATCACAACAAAATTGCAATCCCGGATGAAAGTCGAGTTATCATAATACAATCTAACTCACAACACGTTCTAGAATTTAAATCACCCACAATTATATATTCACATTGTGTGTACCTAGCCGCAATAGCATTCTTACTACTGTGTTTTCGACGAATGTTGAGATAGGATTTACATTGACCACATAAGTTATAATATCGTGTTCAATGTTAACCATTTCAATATCCGGCAACACAGAATACAGAATTTTGAATTTATTCTCTTCACATATGTGTTTGAATCTGAGTATATTCCCAACATACAACGCCCCCGCTCACCCTCCCCTTAGAGTTACTTCGTTTAGCTGCACTAAAGTACTTATGGTACTCACTAACAATTTTACAGAGGTCAAAAAAGTGTTTATTATTTATCTGTTTTGTATACTTTTCTACTTCCGTCTGTATTGGTCATGTCAGGGCCTGCAGCTTATCGTAACTGGCACAATTTTTATTTATTTATCCTTTGCCACTAAAGATCAATGGCTAAAAGCAGTTATTACTGGTTTCGAACCTCTGGTCGTTGAGGGCGTTGACGATTTTATAAACTCTTTCAAAGTGAATTGGGGTCGTAATTACCAATGCTGTGCAATAATATCATGCACTTTGGTTTCTGATTCTTCCCATGATTCCTTGTTTACTTCTAATTGGCACCATGACATCTAGTTTGTGATGCTCGCAATTGCCCTGGGATTTAGTTCTACATTTCGAATGACAAGCAGAAGAAAAACACACGTCTGCACTGTTTATGATTCATTTGCATAAAACAACAGAAAACTATACAATATCACAAAGGCTATCGGTGACCAACACCATCGCTTTAACGGAAGCTTTGAACCCCACCTCACCCGCGAAACATGATTTGCATAGATATTATATTAATAGTTTCCCAGATAACTCGATAACCAACTGTTCAAATAACATCAAATTTGATTTACTGAATATATACTAATTAAAGACAGCTTCTTTATATATGTTGGTATACATTACTGCATAGTGATTAGTTGGTTTTCAGATGCATTTTTTTTTCTCAAAAATATCTCCATAACAAATTACTATAAGGTTAAAACATAAAGGTTTTATGCAAAGTGTTTTATTTGAATGAGGATAGATTTGATCTCACTTCTGTATACAGATCCCTGAAATGCGTTAATGTGAATGTAATTAAATATGTAAATAATATGCAATGTTAATATTATTATGCAGGATTCAAATAAAAACATTATTTTCGGATTTTCTCGCAAACATAATTGGTTAGTACATTCTAACTATTTGTACTGTATTGTAAATATACTGTAACAAATGTAACATTTCAACATGATATATTGAATATGCAAATAAGATGACTAGTATGCATATATTGCTTGGTCACTTAGTCACGTTTTACACCTCTTTGCAAAATGGTAAGTTTAGAACAGATTGTTTTTTTTAAATAGTTTTTGTTTGTTAGTTGTCCTGCTCGTTAAACTTTATATAATCTTGTGTACGTTTCTAACAAAATTTCGCATCCAATCCAACCATTATACAGGCTTTTTAAAAAAAATGCACTTATACCTGGTTGTGAATTAAAAAAATAACTAGGCAAACAATTCAGATAGCGATGGATAATAATTGATTTTACTAATTTAGAAAAACATATAAATACATGTTATAAATTTATTAATTATTTTAAATATTTTAAAACAATCCACAAATGGCCGTGTAAACGACTTCTACTCCAAAATGTGCATTTACTTCTTGAAATAGTACAAATATTGTCACCAATTACAGATATTACTGAACATGAGATTAAGGCAAATACCAATATTATGTTTCATTTATTAAAACAAAAACAAAAAAACATTTGACTTTTGAAATTAATGCCTTCTGAGGTGCATATTCGTTTATTTGATTTACATCACAACAGTAGAGTCATGAGGAATGACTGGAAATAACAATCTAATGACGACGAATTAAGATATATTGAATGCAAAGTGTTCAACCCGAAAATGAAATTTGGAAATTTGCTTCCAATTTCTCAGTTTTCAATTTCGCAGTTCAAAAACTAAAATGATGTAAGTTGTAAAAAGTTTGTGCAGACCACACATACACCGATGAATACAATGTAAGAGCTGGAAAAGGAAGCGGTGCTTTTTATGCTAATCAGTCAGAAGTGTTGAAAATATTGGTGTTTTAGAAAACCTGTGCACCTTTTTCAACATTTGGTATTTGAAATTGTGTCCTAATCTCAAGTTCATTAGCGCAATATACAATAGAATAAACGAATGACCACCATATGCCACAGATTTCTGTGAATATGTTTTGCCGGTTCATGACGATAAACAATTGTTAGTTGTCTATTCTGTTTAACATACATGTACAATATATCCCCCTTCTTCAGGTCTCATACCACTAATCAACCAATAGCTGCTCAATTTAAATGCCTTGCAAAAAAGAATGACATTTTTTAAATATTTTTTCTCAGGTGCTCCCTGTTTGAGGGCGTAATCACCTGGGTCAAATGTGAGACCAGCATGTGGTCTTTTGTTTACTACTTTAAATAGCGGCTGTGTACCTGTGGGTTTATTCTGTGTGTATTTGGATGTTCTAAGCTTGGTGTTTTTCCAGTGATTTCTCATGGTGCAATCCAAATACTGTAAGTGTGTATTGTTTACCCGAGATTTGCAAGAGTTTGAGCTGGCCAACATGTTAGTTTTTTTCATATGGTTGATTACTGGCATGTTTATTTTCCATTTTTGAGCCATGTTTTCAACTTTCTTCATCATTTTCATATAGCAATCTCGTCATATGTTAACATTGTCGTCTATGGAAATTCAATTAGTGGTATGAGCCCTTCATTACTGCAACTGATAGCACATTAAAATATATGTCAATTCATCGTTCTAGAAAAAATATTCACCAGTTCTTGAAAAAAATATGATTGTTTATTCTCGGCACAAAAACGGCCAATATCAACCAATTTTTGACTAAATTATTGTTGCATACTAATTTTAAATTGTATAATGTGATAAATATTGACATCATGTTAAGGCTGAACAATTATTGACCGAACATCACATTATTTTCAACTTCGAATTTTCATAATAAATTACATGTGCGTTCAGTAGACAACCCTTCCACGTTTATCTTCCCGGTTACCGAAATACGATATGCATATTAAAAAATTAACAACGGCGATAAAAAAAAAATACATAAGAATAAACAAAAAATTATAAATAAAAATATAAAAAATAAGCTACATCGGATTTTAATAAGATTGATCCATCCTTTACAATGGCTTGGACTTTACTTAAGGGCATCAAAGCTCGTAGGTGGTACATTGAGGCAATTATCTCAATGGCTTAATTCTGTGAGTTTTGAAACTTGCTTTACCTATGTGCTGAGCTCGCTGTACGAATACTAGGTTATGCGCTCAAATGTAATAGCGCCATCATGCGGATTATTGAGCGCGTAGGTTGTTGACCTGCGGAAGTTCATGGGGTCAAAGGTACCTATTCAGCAACCGCTCATCAGATCGTGCCTTTGCAGAGCCCCTTTACCATGTGGCGCATTACTATAGGTGTTAGTAGGTCTGTTTCCAGCTTTAAACAGGCATTGTATTTGAGCAGAATGGCTAGTAGTGGTACGAGTTATTTAATTGAAGATAAAAAGTATGCGTGGTTGAAAGATCTGGGCTTAAAGAAGGAAAACGATGGTGTTTTTCACGGGGAATGGACAGCCAACGGACCGGTGAGTTTCTGATAATAAAACGAGATTGCAGACCCGATGCCGGTCAAGTGTGAAACCCCTGTTGGTGAACTTATCATGCTTTATAAATATTAAAATGATATACGTCAAAGTTACCTCCATTTGAAAACTTACCTGGAAAGACTGTTGAGGGAAAACAAAATAAAGAAAATCCCACGACTGAATATTTTGAACTAGAAAATGTGAATACAAAAACTGTCGTCAGGCATTTCACCAGTCCCGACGCCAAATTTCAATTGTTTTATCCATTTTTAGATAACCCATGAATGATGGCTGATTAATTTAAAGTAATTTTAAAAACGATAAAAATGAAAACGATTCACAAGATGTGAACTCGACGATTGGTTCACTGTCCCACTGGCACTGGGCTGTGTTTGGATTTATGTACATTGCACATAGAATATCAATAATAGAATATCCAATACAATAGAATATCTCAATAGTGATTGACAATTTCTTGTTTGAATTGAATCAATGCATTTATAAATAATCACCAGAAAAATTATCATTAACTAGATCTATGTTAATTATTATAAATTTAATTCAATTTTAAGCAATTTACTTGATTTTAGTTACCGTTTATTTCTTCATCATTAATTTTGTATGACATTCATAATTTCCTTATTTATCATTATGCAATATCATCAGCAGTTTTTTAAAAATTTTTTTCACAAAAGTTTTTTAATAGAGAATGTACCCGATATTCATAGTAATATTTGCACAGAATCAATATCACAATTCTTGGGAGTCACATGTAAGCTATGTTTCTGCGTTTATACTTGTCAGTGACTGGCATAAACC